GAAGAGTAGAATATGGGAGCACTTGGGATCCTTTGAAGAAATTGAAGGGGGGGGGGGGGGGGGGAAGAGTAGAATATGGGAGCACTTGGGATCCTTTGAAGAAATTGAAAATCCACCCAGCAGAATTTCATTCCATTGATGTGAATTTCAGAGTACAACTCTAGAAGTGCCATCCATACAGAATAGAAGTGTCCCAAACTTTAGTTTCAGAAGAGGTAAAGAAAAGTTCAAATAATGACCACGTGAAATCGCAAGATGGGTCCTTGCTACTGAGATTCTGATAAACCCAATTATGTTGCCCCAGTGCCAGTTTTATTAAATGAATCAAAGAAACAAAAAAGATCAAAAAGGATAACCTGAATAAGTGCGTGTTGTGGCTGACCCTTGCAGTATCTTGCAGCTTGAATTCAAGCCACTTATCTGGATTGAGTGCTGAAAATGCAACAATAAAAATCCATTGAGACTATTGTTCATGCAAGTTCCCTTGAGATTTTGATATATATAAAGAATATAATAAAAATGGATAGAGCCTTAATCAAATGCTAACTTGTGGGAAAACTGAAAAGGAGCAATGCACAATTCTTCATCTATGAGTGAGGCAATCCCATAATTATTCTGCTCAAGTGTTATGAAAGAGATAGAAGAGGAGGCAGACTCACCAACTTTTGGACCTGTCTCTTCATTCACTTGATCTAGATGAGCCTATGATTACCAAGAATAACAACATTATAACTTCTCAATGTATAACATACATTGATAATACCAACATTAAAGCTTCCACTAATAAGTCAGATTTCAAACAGGCAGTAGCTATCTAGAAACAAAGCTATGCCTTATCAAAACCACATACGAGCGTTGAAGCATGGTCGTAACATTATACATATAAAAATAAAACCTAAATATCACATTATCAATGGTAAAGTATCTAACTAGAAACTTAAATGGAATTATTTCTAAATCTCAATTGCATTTTGAACATCAGAATATCTTTAATAAGTATCAAACCCCAGTATTAATTTCAAAAAACATATTCTATCCAGAAACATGTAATTGAAACAAGATCAACTTTGATCAAGTGGTAAACGAACCCAGTGAGGCCCTGGAAGGTCAAACATCGAAATACCCATACCCATGTATGAGAGCATATAGTTAAACATGAAATACCAGAGACAGTTCCATAATTCCAACCACAGAGTAACAAATCACAAATCCAATCGATCATATCAAAATAAGAAAACAAAGATGACAATTCGCACCCGCCATTGCAACACGAAAACCCAGATGGGAATGTGGACAGAAATTTACCAAGTTCGGCTCAGAGAAGTAGTAGTAATAGGAAATTCCAGCAGACACCGCTGCCATCGCCGGCAAGCGCAATCCGCCGTAAATGGACTTCCGCTGAGCTCCAAATGCATCGGAGAATGCCACCGGCACAGCTCTAGCGAGCCTCTTGAAGAAAGTGGTAGCCATTTTTTCATCAAAGCAAAGAGCAGATGTTGAGGGTTTTAGAATTCCAGAGGAGGAAGAAGGGGAGATCTGAAGCGAGCTCGTTCTGCTTTTTGCGGTGCAGCCGCTACGTGGGTGCAAAATGTTGGGTAACTAAACCAATAATATGAAGCCACGTTTCATTGAGCTTTTGTTCAAAGTCCATTTTGTCCGAAATGTTCGGGCTGAAGGATCATTTTACTTTGGGCTTCGTATAACATCAAAGAGCCCAATTCAGGAACCGCCTGCTTCGACCCAATATTGAATCATAGCTTAAAGCTATCCACCTTTTATATAGGTTACAAGTTTGAATTCTATGAAATTTTTTTTTTATATTATTCAATTAATTTGTAAATAATTATAATATATTAAAAAAAAGAGCCCAATTAAGAGATTTTGATCTTATTCTTTTTGAGAAAAATTTTTTATGGTTAAATTTACTAGATTTTTTTTATTATTAAGTGAAAACTTAATTTTAAATCTTATATGAGTAAAAGTGAATAGTGCCTATCAAGTTTTGATTTTTTTTTAAAGAGTTTTAATTTTAAATAATGTATTTTTTTATTTAATTAAAACTTAATTTTAAATTTAAAATTTTACCTTATTAAATATTGATCCATGAATTTAAAAACTGATTATGTTAAAACAAATATAATTAGCTTTCCAAATACAAATATTGACATTTAATAAAATAGACTTTTGAATTTTAAATTAGGTATTAATTAAATAAAACAAAGTTATTTAAAGTTAGACTTCAATTTTTTTTTGTGAATCAAAAGTAATATGTACTTTTTTTAAATAAAAATGTTTTAATAAAATTCATGTATCAAGAATTTTTGTAATGTCTATAATATGCTTTCTTGATGTGTAAAGAGTTTTGATTGTTATTATTTTTTTTAATTTTATAGTAATTTATTTAACAGAGCCCTAAATCAACTATATTAATAAAAAAGTCAAAATTTTGGTAATCAAAATTGAATTTTAAATTAGATTCTACTATTAAAATAAATATCATTAACCAAGATAATAAAAGGCAAGAGATAAAGAGTTTTGATTATTTTTCTTTTTCTTTTTTTTTTAATTTCAATAATTGTTATTAAAATTAATGAGTGCTTGCCACTTTAACTATTTGCTAAAAAAAAGTTATATAGACAGTTTAAAAAATCTTAACACACTGATGAAGAATTTAATTATAGTATTTTTATTTATATGAGATTTGAGATTCAACCCTCATTTAATTTGAAGTAAAAGTAAGATAGACCCACTATAAAGGAATTTTTTATTTTTATAATTGAAAAAAATCATTTATTGTACTTTTTAATTTAGAACTGACTAGTTCAAAGTAAATTAAATAATTAAGAGCCCATCTAGGTTTGAAGGCAAAAAT